TTTTGGCTATCTTTGAGAGTGAATTGATTACTCATTTTTATTTGATAACCTAAGTTTGAGGCTACTGATATATCAATATATAGCATGGAATCGTCTACCCACTCCTTATTACGGAGATTAACTTTCAACTTTTCAGCTTGATTTTCTAATTCTTTTACTTTAATATACCATCTTCCTTCATTACTGATGAGTTCTAAATCGTAGATTTACCTCCATAATAGGAACGAAACGCAAATTAGTGAACGTTTTCACCTCATTTTATCACTTTATTCATCTACTGGGCTTCACTGAATTTTAAACTCTACATTCTTTTTGCTGGGGCGAAGGTAAAAAAAAGATTTAGATACGACTACATATTTTTCATCAAAAAATGAGGACAAATTTTGAATAGCAAGTTACCTGCAAGTTATGATCATGTCCGGCGAAATATGCTGACACATTGTAAGCTTTCAGCAAGGGATCCAGCCTTTCTATAAGACAATGAGTAGGTCCATGTGAAGAAATCGAGTAAATTGGGTAATGGCCAGCAACGAAGAGGTAGTCGGCTCTGAAATTGCCTTGCTTTGTTAAAAGCGCAAATTCTTAAATTGGAGCAGTCACATACTTGCTCGAGTTCAGATTTTCATTTATCCATTTCCATTGTTCTTCTGCTTTCTTCGGATCAGTTGGGCCCTAAAAGACAACAAACTTTTGCTACTAATTTTTAGAGTTTATAAAGCATTTGAATACCTCAGGATGATGTGATCTGTTCCACAGCATGTCGAAAAAGCCACCATTTTGTATATCTGCAGTATTTCCACAAAGCACTATGGTGTCAATCATCAAAATGTCCACAGATGAATTTTTTAGTGAAAATGAGAGTTTGTAGTAGAGTTTGGGGAAGTTCCTAAATTTTTTTCCTAATATAAGTAAGAATCGAAACTTTTATGGGGCAAACTGACCATTTCTTGCTATGGTTAGTATAAGCAATTTGAGCTGAAACATTGCCAAAATGATCATGGTTTCCAGCGATCATGTACCATG